AACATTTAGCATTTAAGATAAAAAGGTTTTTGTCTGTCAATATGTTCTTTCAGCTTTAAATCAATAAAATCAATCGAGAAAATAATCTACAGATTAATGAATTTGCTAAATAATTGTTAGTTGCAGCCCTACTGCTAACACAGTGCTAACTTTGCTTCAGTGCTTCATTTAAACACTTATAATCCTGAGCTGCATCTCAATCATAAGACCGACCCAAAACAGGAACATTGGTAGTTAATGTCAGCCCAGTTTAACTGATATCAAGGTGTATGAAAATAAGGAAAATTTGCAGATACTGATATTAATGTAAGTATACTGTGCGTCCCTGGCTTAAATGATCATTTACAATAATTGACTTTGATACCTTTCAGTAAATACGTAGAATAGAATAGAATAGAATAGAATAGAAAAGAATAGAATAGAATAGAAAACCACTTTATTGTCCCACAATGTGGAAATTCTGGTGTTTACAGCAGCAAAAAGATTGTAGAAAAAATGGTCACACAAATGTGGACCTTAGAATAATTTGTAATAATAACATAATAGTGGAGATTTAAAAGATAAACAATAAAATACTGTACTGTAAAGTGTTTAAACAATATAAATACTGGGAATAATAACCAATATACAGCAATATACATTTTTACAATAATGGATGTTTGAAAATAGCAGCAACATCAAAGATAGCAGCATGTTATTTAACTGACTAAGGTAGAAACTATGCAAAATCAGCAGGAATGTAACAACTTATTGAGGTTGTTGATATATTCTTAATATGCATGATATTAATGTAGTTATCATTATCTTCTTTTAATTCTTTTTTTTCTTTTTTTTTTGGTATTGTAGCTCCTTCTACAATTGTTGCTTAAAATCTTTTTTGACCCAGAATATATTAAGAATAAAATTTATTCTCTTAGAGCCACAGGAAATTTAAGCAACTTGAATGTGATTATCTGAAAAAGGGAGCAACAAAGCATAGGCAATGAATCATTCCTATAATATCATAAAATCAGACATATATGAAATGCTTTTGGAACTTGTGTCCTAAAGCTAATTTAGTGAAAAGCTGCCAGGGTTGGTAGTTGGTCTTCCTTTCTATTCCTCTTCTTGCCGATTGTTCCGGTGGTGGACGGCTACCTGAGGCAGCTTTTACCTGCTGTTTAAAAACAGTACTTATTACGTTTTTCTAGAACCAACGCCGAAAAAAACTTTCTGTTCTGCAAAATATTTACTTGTTTTTGTTTTCTGAATTTCTTTAATCAGTGTAGAAAAACATAATTTTTCCACACAAATCATATTTTGCCTATTTATCCCTGCAAAAGAATGTTTTCAAATCCCATAAATAATTTATACGCTTTGCTTTAAACTGTATGTGTTAGTAAACACTTTTTAGTATGCAACTGATTGCTGACCTATGATTACTATTTCGAAACACTACAGCAAATTACAACGATTAGCTGTTTGAAGTTAGGATTTATAAAGAGCAGTGGAGGATAAAAAAAACCCCTCTGTTTATAAATAGTCTCACTCTGCATCAATAAATTAAACAATTGCCACCAGAGGCAAACAAATTGCAAACATGAGAGACTATGCTTGTCTTTTTAGGGCAAATCTGAGTTTTGGTTTGTAATGAATCTTATTAAATAAACTGAAGCCAAATTAGCACCAATATTTGAGGGACAGAGTAAATAATTTAGTTTTGTAGAGAGGAAAAGTGTTTCCTAATTTATCATTAACGTAATGGTGAATAGTGATGATGATAAAGATTATCATAATAATACTAAATATTGTCATATGAATTTAAATCAGAAAAAGCTTCAATTTTAAGCATTTTATAAAGACAGAGAACTTTCTGTGGTGATAAGGTGATACATGCGGACAAATGTTATATATAACTTCCAAAATATATACAAACAACTACAGAAAAAATGTTTATTGCATAAGAAAAGTACCATGGCAAATATTAAAAATATACAATAAAAATATTAAATTAAACAGTTGGTATTTACATGTGCTAAGATATCCATATGATTTGCAACAGGAAACTCTCAGTTAGCAACCTGGGCTTTGTTAATGAAGCTAGCTGCATACAGGTCAGCTGTTATTGTGGGCAGAGGTTTTAGTCGTGATGGACCGCTGCCTCCTGGCAGAAAGGGAAGCTTGGAACAGTTTGCTTTCAGGGTGGGAGAAGTGAGCTGAAATCTTTCCTGCTTGCCCCAGAGTCCTGGAGGTGTACAGTTCCTTAAGAGCATTAGGAACAGTCACCTTGTCTGCAGAGCAAAGTATCCGGTGGTAATGGTGGAGCCTTCTTGGTGAAATAGGTGATGTTTCGCTCCCACTTCAAGTCATAGGGAAATCATATTTAAATGTGAAAACTTCTGGCTTAAACATGTATATAAATGTACTATTTATCAGACAATATTGTCACAAAATTTAGAAAAATTATATTTGAAAAGAAAATCCTGTCTTAAAATCTGTGTTTTTTTTTTTTCTTCGTTATCTTATGCAGGCCAGTTAGTTATACGTCAGCGTGAACACCTAAATTCGGCCAATCATATATCTACGGTCATCTGTCAATCCAATTATTTTGGTCATAGCATCTTGATTCATATGTTGCAGCTAATATACGCAACGGTTGAAATAAGAAATAAGAATCATTTCCTTTCCCATTGAGTTCCGTCCCAGTGTTCACGGGGATGGACGTCTGTGTCTTCAGCAGGCGTAGAGCTAACAGAACTGGCAGCGTTGCGAGGCAAGGGCTCCAACATGTACGGCTGTAAGCCTTCTACACCAAACCAAGCTTCTGCCGCCCTGGCGTCCTCTTCCACAATATCTTCGTCCCCGCTTTCCTCCTCTAAATAAGAAATGTATGACAGAGGAGACTCATCCACGACCTCCGACACTAAACTCTCCTCCTCTTGCATGTTTCCTCTGTCCATAGCGTTCCTTGACAGTGTCGTTTCTAAGTCACCAATTTAGTGCTACTTGGTCCCAATGGAATTTCCCATTGGGAACCTACTAGCACTAACTTGCTAACTGATTAGCAAGATGCTTCTGACAAACCGGCCATAATCAAATTTGCTTGTGAACCTTTCACCACAACAACCCCGCCCCATTGATAAACAACCAATCACATTTACTTTATTCACTCGTGTAAAGTCGGGCACCACTCGGGAGAATTCGGAACTGCAACAGTTGGAACAGCCGTTTCCCTATGACTTTAAGACCCAGCATAATGATGGTTTCACATGCTGCTTCCTGTCTGTCAGGAAGTCTGTTATCAGTTATGCCTAGTGTGGATGGCTGTTTGTTTTGTCTGTTGAGTCATAGTATATGTGCATAGGTGGCTAACTTTATGAAAAATACTTCAGCGTCTTACTCTTAACATGATGGTCTGAATGATGAGATCCATAAGTGAAGATCTGTGATAGTTGTTGACTTGGATCATGAGAGAAAACACATATATGATCCATCCTATTGTAATAGAAATTATTATTTTTATAAAAAGGTTAAAAAGACAGAACTCTTTTCGCATAAGCAGTCATTTTAGTTTCAAATCTGATTTATTTACTTTTATCTTTCCATCTTTAAAGTTACATTACCACGTATATTTATATTTGTTTTCCACCCTTTTAGATTTTCTGTTGTTGTTTAAATCTTTATTTATATGTTGTAAATATTGCATGTCTTTTATTGACATTGTTATTGTATTCTCATATTGTTTTCCTCATCTATTTGTTTTCTGTATGCAATGAGGTCCCCATACCCATTTATTTTTTATGTTTTAGGATCAAAGAAGAAACAAAACCTCAACAAGCACAGTAAGTAAACTACATTACCCAAAGTTCATAGGCTTTGACAATACTTCTCAGCAGTTTGTGCTGTTTGCTTAATGTTGCTTTTTCGTCATCTTCTGGAGGCTAAATGAAAAAAATGGCATTAATGTCATGGTGGGGAAAGCAATACAGACACATTAACCAAGTCAGCAAATCAGTATTTATTTGAACCTCACACAGTGAGCTTAATTTAGCCAGGCAGGTAAATTCTCTGGACATTAGACAGCTGGCATCCATGACATTAATGGCAACTGCTTTATACTGGCGCTTTTTTGTTTCTGTGCCAGGCTTGCACACCTTTCCCTTGTCCCTAGTTTCTACTTGGCTGCCCGTCTTCATCCGGTGTATCGTCTGCACTCTGGCTGGCTTGTGCAGCCGTGTAGTTCGACTTGATGCTCCTGTCCTCCTCTGCTGTTCTATAGCTTCATTTGATCCAATCTCTCTTCAAGACTGATCATTTGGAAAACCTGACCTCTGCTGCCCCTGTAAACCTGAAGAAGTGATACTTCTGTTACCCTTAGCCGAGTCTTTAATTTAGTACTTTTCCCACTGGCTGTAGTGCTTCTATCTTTTTCATCATCCTTATCTTAAATTGAACCCTGATAGCCTCACACTTCTATCCTCTTCTGTCTTTTCCCATTGTATTTCTGACACTATCTGGATGTCAGTGGTCCCAAAATTGCCACTCTGCCGGTGTTCTTGCTCCTCACCTCTTTCAGCTCTGGTTTTAGTGAATGCTCCTGTTATTTTTCACTCCTTGAAACTGCCCTGCAATCAAAAATTCCTCTTATGATCAAATTATTTTTCTTCATCAGTGAATGATTACAAATTTTGAGCCACACTTTGCTTATTTGAACAGGTGGTTTCCCTTTAGTGGGATCACTGACCTGGTAAATAATGTTCTTCAGCCTCAGCAAAAGTCCCAAAATGACAAGAAGCCCGAACCAGATCCGTAAGTAATAACACAGACCCATTATGATCTCTTTTCAACAGAAAGAAAGAAATATGGTAACCAAGGAGCTAAAAAGATATGATGCTTTATTTTGATTGTTTTTAAACAGAAATTGCTTTAAAGTTTAATTGTGTTTGTCAGTATTAGGTTAAACATCAGTATGGAGTAATAATTTGTAACATATTGTTGCAAGCAAATAACATGTTTTTTAAATGGAAAGTTGAAAACGCAAATTTTGTGCATTAAAATGTGGAGAAAAATGCAATCCAGAAATAAAAGTTTGAAAAATGTTTTAGTTAAAAAAATAAAATTAAAAGTTTTGAGAGTAAACTTTGTTTTCTCAGTTTTCTTTTCTTTCAAATAATAATAATAAAAAAAAAAAAAAAAAAAAAATATATATATAAATTAGTTAATTTTTTATAAAGCTTTTATATTTCCATTTTATCCCCTCAAATTTCAGTTTTTCAAGGAAAAGTCTGGTCAGCGCGGAATAACCAGTGGGTTATATTTGGGCAACACGGACAGTGTACAGTAACTCCTAAAAATATGCTTCCACAGAGGGAAAAAACAGAGAACATAACAACGGCAAAAAGAAAACATACTTCCAATGTAAACATCAAAATAGCTTCAAGAGCAGAGGGTATCCCTTAGATATCCATTTGTAGAAAGTAAAACCTGTAGTAAATACACAATATTATTCATGGTGGTATATATAAATATATATATTTAGTGTGTGTTTTTATCCGTGAAAACCTGGAACCATCCTTGCGTCGCATGAATGCATTGGCATTCTGGTGATTAAAGGAGTTATGATGTTTCTTCAGAAGGAAAATCAATAGCAGGTGTGGGTGGCTCCAGACTCCCCCTACAGGGTCCAGGAGAGATAAAGAGGTGACGCGAGCCCAAGATATCCAGAGGCACCCCAGATCACGGCGACACAACTAAGAAATCTGAGAAAACAATGAAGTTACTCTCAACTTTTGCTTGCAACAATAACAGAACAAGATTCTAATTGAACTTTAATGATATCACATTGGAGAAATGAACCACCGCATTTAACTGCCTCTCTGGCTCAGAGACCCAGAGTGGCAGTGAAATCCGAACCCACAACCTCAGGATTCCAAGCTCTATGCACTAACCACATAATATATCAAAATCTAGCTGAATTTACAAAAGTTCTGTTTTTACCATCAAAAATCCACAAAAACAAAGACATTAAATGGATTTACTTCTCCCTAAATTGCAATAAAAAGGGAGATTGCATCACTTAACTATAATCATCAAAAAATATTAAATAATGTAATATATTGAGGAGTATCATCTCACAGTTGAAAGTGCATGGCAGAGAGCAAACACCAAGCATTAAGTCAAATTAATTGCATGTAGATTTCTGAGGCTGGGCTGTCTTGAGGCACATTTAGAGGAAACAAAAACATCTTCCGCCTTAAAGGTCCTAAAATCATAGTGGCTTCATCATTGTTAAATATAAGAAATTGAGAACCAATAGATGTTTCCTACAGCTGGCTGGCTATTCACCTGAGGTTATGAGTTTGAGCCCCACTCCCACAGACTGCCACTCTGAGTCTCTGGGCAAAGCCCATAACCCTACACTGCTCCCTGGGCACCGCACAATGGCAGCCCACTGCTCCCCAAGCAGATGGGTCAAACACAGAGGTAAATTCCTCCAATGTAAGATCAATAAAGTTCAGTTATTATTAGTTTGTAGAGAGGGAGGAACCTTCCTGAAGGACAATAATGTTCACACCAATCAGACTTGTGTGCTAGACTGGCCAGATGTATGGAACTCCTTAATGAAAGACAGAAGTCAGCAAGTCCTGTTTTTCCCAAAAGGCTCCTGAAGGAATCGGACTATGAATGACAAAGTCCTCTGGTCTGATGGAACAAAGATTTTAATCTTGGCTTTGAATACCAGCACTCATGTTTGGAGGAAACTGATAGGCCAAAACCGTCCCTGCAATGAGGCATGGTGGTGACAGCATCATGCTGTGGGGATGTTTTTTTTTTTTAGCTGAAGGAACTGGCAGACTAGTCAGGATAGAGAAAAAGGATGAACACAGCAATGTACATAAACATCCTGTATGAAAAACTGAACCAAAGGGCCTTTGAGCTCAGACTGAGGGAAAGACCCTAAAATTGATGTCTAAAGAAGTGATATCAGAATGCATTGATTCATCATAAATATCAATATTTCAGACTTTTACAATTTGTTTTATTTTGTGAAGCTCAGAGCAATAGGATCCAGTATACGAGGCGGAAAAACAGTAAGGTTTCCCAAAACATATATTGGAAACAGAATTGCAGTAAGCAGTGTCGGCTTATAAGGCAGGAACCTCTGGTCTTATAGTTCAGTCCGAGCCCGGAGGGTGAGGTTGGTTCCAGCCAGTCGGCTGACAGTACGACGCAGTGTGTGCCACACAGAGAGTCCCAGATACTGATGTATCGTGGTGGAGGACAGGCAGGAGATCAGAACCGAGAAGACGAAGGAAGGCAGGATAATCCAGAGGGCGAAGCCAAACCCGGTATCGAGGCTTAGGAGTCAGAGCCAGGAGGTCAGAGGTCCAAAGAGATGCCGAGGGGGAATCCAGAACGGAGACGGGAAACAGTTCCAGTTTCGGGACACAGACAGGCTGGGATCCAGCAGGGGTCAGCAGACAGAGTAGGCAAACAGAACAAACAGGGACGGGCAGGCTCAGTGGTTAAGGGGCAGATCAGGTCAGGATAAGGCAATCAGAAAAACTGAATTCTAGAAAATTTCTCACCACTGGTTTGAAATAATCTGGTACTGATGACTGGTCTAAAGGCTGGTTAAATAGAGACTGAAGCAGGTGAATCAGAAGAATGGTAATGAGAACTGGGAGCTAAGCTGGTTATTGAAATGAGTAATCAGACCAGTCATTAGTGCCAAGATAATTTGTTGTTTTTCTTTCTTTTTTGTGTGCAGATTTTGTTTTTAAACTTGATTCGTTCATATTCTGTTTTTAGACAGTTTTTTTTTTCTTCTAATTTTACTTCTAGATTATTTTTTAAAAGCTTTTTGTATATTTTATTTTTAGAATTTCTGAATTTCCAATTGCATTATATTCAAATTGCTCACAGATCACATGCTCCTCACTTCCGGCATGCTGTTTTTTTCCAAGTCCAACATGAATGCTTGCTTTAGATTAAAACAATGTTGTGTGCTAACAAACATGCAAACCAAAAGAAATGCATTGTTACTTCGGAGAGTTCGCCCCCAGAAGTAAAGACAACCTTATCTGGAAAACTGTTTAAAAAGATTGCTGAACTTGAAACTCACTCTGAGAACAGAAGTTTCTCAAAAAATGGAAATATGAAATTTGTAAAAGAAAAGTGAAAAAAATAGAAGATCATATAAAAATCTGCAAAACAATTTTTGAAAAATATAAAATAGGAAAAACTAATTTGAAAAAAAAAAATAATAATAATAATAATAAAAAGAAAAAGAAAACAGACCAGGATACTCTCAAAATCTTTTTTTTTTTTATTAAAATGTTTTTCCAAGTTTTATTTCTGGAATGCATTTTTTTTTCAATAAATTTCAATTAACAAAATATTTTTTTTCTAACTTTCATTTACAAAATGTGTTTCTTTTTTGCAACAATAATGGAGCAAAATTTACTCCATATTTGACCATAGTACATGCACTAACTAAAATATGACATCTTCTTAATATAGATCCAAGTCTTAGAAGAATTTAACTATACTGAGATTTATCATGGATTTTTCTCATTGTACAAATTGTTTCACATTGACCGATGTTAATTTTAGTAAATATAATGTTATGTGTATGAAAGTGTTTATAACAATGTCATAATAAATGAAATTAAAGACTAAAACTTTAGAAATAGAAACCAAACTTAACCTCAATGATCCATTCAAGATAATGAAGAAAAAAAACAAAAAAAAAAAAACAACTAAATATAGCACTGCTCCATTTGCAACATGGTCAGCATAAACTTAAAGTGCATGAACCAGCATAGAAAGTTTAATTTTAAGTGTTACATATCGTCAGTATAAATGGTTTCTCTGTTTATTATAAAAACTGCATAATGCAGTTGCATTATTTTTCTGAGTAAATAATTAATCTAGAAACAGATACTTACAGTTATTAATATTTCTAAATAAAAAAAAGTGTTAAACATAAAAGAAAAACTTTATTGCACATTTCCAAATAATTGCAAGTATTTGTAATTTTTCTCATTCACTGCTGTAGGAAGGTCATTATTTCAACAAATTACATATTTTAGAGTTTGTGTACTATCACTCTTGGATTCGATTACTAAACAATTATTTCAATTATCGATTAATCACTATTAATCTAGCCATTATATATGACATTTCTCCATCTTCTGCTACTTGTCTGTCAGGTGGTCGAAAGTAGATGGGTGAAAGGTGGGGCTGCCCCGGATCACATTTTATTATACATTTTATAATCCCTTGATGTCCATATCAGAGATGTATTTATTTTAACATTAGATCAGAAATATTTTCACTATTAACATGTTTACAAAAAAGTTATTTAAAATAATAGTTATAATACCTAAAACCCAGCTGGTTTAAAAACATCAAATAGTCACCTCTCTGCTGATAAGTTGAATTTGTCTTATCTCCAAGAGAAAGGCTCAGGTTGCAGTCTGCGTATAGCTGCTGTCTCAGAGGTAAGAGAGCTCCGATACACAAGCATGGAGCTGGATAATGAGCAGTGTATGATTACTCATCAGCAGTCTCACCTGCATTTGACCATGTTTCACACAATAAGCAACCCCTTTTTGAATGGCTAATGTGTGCAGCTGCCTCTATAGCCCACTTCCCATTAGTGCTGTTTTCTTTTTTCTTTATGTTAATAAAAAAAAAATCCATCTTGACTTTCTGCTTGTTTTACTTTTATATATTAAATAATACAGTTAGGTGTGTAAAGACACAATCTGAAAACTTTAACAATCTTTTGATGAGGTTGCTTTTTTACCTTGTTAGGAAAGTATTTAGCTTGTTCCTCCAAGAGCTTTTTCTTAATTATTCTATTAGTACGGATGTGGGGGATTTTTCTGTTTACAGGCTGAAGAAGGGATGTTATCAGTACTGTGGTGAAAAAAGAAGGATTAGGTAAAAATAAAACAGTTATTAAGCTTTTTTTCCCCCCTGATCATCAGAAATAGTGAATTTTGTATCAAATTATTTTTTCAGTTTTTTTATCTGTCCTTCTGTCAGTAAATGCAATTTAAATAAATCTCTTAAACAAAGCTCAACACTAGTCTAATCACTGCTTGGTAAATACACAAAGGCTGACATAATTAGCTCTTTAATCCTTTTGTGGAATGAACACGGAGCATGTCACTGGCACTTTATCTAATGTTCTGATGGGACAGAGATTCAGACAGAGCAATACTCACACATGCACACACCTGCTGTGTCTTTCAGTGTGTGTGACTGTTCTTTTTTTGGGCTTCAAAACACTGGATGTGGGCAAAAGGAAGCATGTTTATCTCAAAAGCAAACCTGTATGTGGTAAAAGGATCGCACTGCTCAATAATTTACAAGAGCTAATGAATGTTGCAGGGGATATGTGGGGCGAAACCACTTCTAATCGCCATATTATGAAGTCAGCCCAGTGTTTAGTTTCCAAGGAGACGCTCAATTGACATGTGTCATGTAAAATGCATGCAAGGAGACAATTTTTTTGTGGTTGGAGGTTAAGTTTTTCTTTCTAAAAGCATTACAAGATACAGAGATACATGGAAAGGCTGCATTGATTCCCTTATAGTGGAATATAAAGTTATCTGCTTGTAATAACCAGCGATTACATGCAGATAATGGAGGAAAAAAAATTAATATATTCTTTTTAACTCAGTAATTATGACATACCTCAAGGGCTTCCTTGCCTGATAATAACACTGTCTTAATATAAACAGACTGGTGTAAATTATTCATTGAATACAGGGAAAATAGAACTAATAAAACTGATACCTAAACAGCTGAGATTGAAGAGATGTGGTGTCAGAAGAGCAGCTCATCTTTTAGGTGTCGGATATAATGACATGAACTTTTCCTCACCAAATTCCACTCAATACCCGGATTTGGATTGTTTTGTCTGCTTGTAGCTAAAGCATGGAGTTTGTGCAGAATAAATTATTTTTGGTAAGCATTTTCTTTTTTTCATTGAAATGATGAACTGAGACAGTTTTATACCATAATCAGAGCTTCAATAAATAAGCAAGACATTTTTAGCAGAAAACATCCACCTAAAGATGGGTATTGTATTACCCATTACCAATTTGGATAAACTAGCCCCTCATCTGCTGCAAGAAATACGCACCAAAATAGGGGAGTAAAACTCACAGGAGTCTGTGACAGTGCAGGAAACTAAAATCTGTGCTCATATAGGTGATCGCAGACCTGCACAATAGACGCTCAAGGTTTCAGAAGGCAAAGCTTTCTACCGATATATTATTTTTTAGGAATATTCAGGTTGTTGTAGAAGAAGATTGTAATTAGGCTAAGATGTTCATAATATACCACCCAAGGTAGAATACATGAGCCCATCTGATACTAGAAATAAATTAGGGGTGTCCTGACACAACTTTTTCATTTCCGATGTGATACTGATACTTTGAGTATCGATGGATGCCAATCAGAGCATGTGAGTGGAGCTGAGCGTGGAGCGAGCGCCAGATCGGAGCGGAAGAAATAAGGTGGAGTGCAGAGCGGTTTTCACTTCAAAGGCTGGAGTGAGGATTTCACTCCGCTCCAGCGCTCACTCTGATATGAGGTGTTACGTTCACAGCTGGGAAAACGATAATTTAACAACCATTTAAATAAAACAATACACAAGTTTAGGTCACATCATTAAATTAAACGCCGTGTGTCCCAGGGCGCTGGCATAACTTACATGGAGGAAAAATGTCAGAAAATGCCTTCTCCTGAAAATTTCAGTGAGCTTGAGCGATTTCGCCGGAGCGGCAGAAAAATCAAGGTGGGCGCTCGTGAGACCATCCTGATCTCGCGAGCTTTCTAGATTTCACTCGCAAATCAGTCTGGAGACTCTCCGTTAAAGAAAATTTGGAGCAGTTCACCAAACGAACGTCCAATCAGCGTTGGCTTTGAGGCGGGTTGAGGTGTGACGCAACGAGAAGCGCGACAGTTCAGTCTAAAGAACATGGCGGCTTCAGCCGATGAAACTAGCGTTAGCGTGGCTATCGAGCAAGTTTTATCGGAATTACAGAGTATTTCTTCACTGAAAGAAGAGCCAAACACTGCTCTGGAGGCTTTTCTCAGAGGAAAAGATGTTTTTGCTCTTGTCCCGACTGGTTTCGGCAAGAGTAGCCTGGCTTGTGGTTGTGTTTTCGTCGTCGCTCTGTTAGTACGTCATATGCTTCGTTGATCTGATTGGTTTATTTGGCCCGTCTATCACCAACATAGGCCAATCAGCTAACCAGTATTTTCGCCCCTTCCCAAAATTACTTCAACGGAAGGTTTCCAGATGGATATGCGGAGCAAATTGTGCGGCGCTCCGCTCCGTTCACATGCTCTAATCCCAATCATGACTTGATATAATATCAGCATGACTCATACAAGCTTTTATTGCTGATTTTATAGTGTCAGATTATAGAAGAGGCCTGATCAAGGGATATTTGTCAAATAAAGAACAATGCTTAACAACATTGGCTATGAGATCAATTCACCCATTTCTTATTTACCAAAGAGTTATATAAACTTTGCACAAAAGAGGACAGAAGCAAAACTTTCCTATGAGCTTTCTAATATCTGAGATTTTAGACACAGGTTGATATATTCCAATATTAATTTTTTTGACTGATATTGGGCTGATTTCTGATATCGATATCTGATCGAGACCACCCCTAAAAGGAATTGCATTTTAGAAAATGAAACCCTGAGAAAAATGACCTTAAAGTAACCTAAGGTGTTTATTCTATAACTATTCTACTGTTCTGTTACCAAAAGGTCAATAGATGCAACATGAAGACAGTTTTTATTGTTAAATTTGCAGTAACTCTACCCTTTATTGCATTTGTCTGCTTTTTGACGTATTTACAGGAAGAAGTAGATATTATACTTTTTGTAAAGTTTTCCTTCTCCTTTTATGAGTCTAAGAGATGTTTTGTATTTTCTGTTAAAAGCAATAGGTAATTTTTTCTTCACAAAATGAATGTTCAGTTGAATGATCAAAACTATCCTTGAATATGACCTTTTTGTCTTGTTTTTTTCCCGATGATTATATGTAAACAAGCAAAAAAAAAAAAGCTTTCCTTCAGGTCATCACTTTTATCATTTGATTTTCTAACCTTTGCTTTTTTTCATTCACTGACAGGAAGTTACACCAGCAGTTTGAATCGTATAAGGACCAGGTTAAGAAGATGGGGGAAGAGACTAAACCGGTTCAGGAGCAGAAGAGCGAAGCCCCAACCTGTGGAATATGCCACAAAACAAAATTTGCTGACGGCTGTGGTCACATCTGTTCATATTGCCAAACGAAATTCTGTGCTAGGTGCGGAGGACGTGTGTCTCTGCGGTCAAACAAGGTAACGCTTCATGCCTGTTACTCAGCAGTGATGACACCTCTCAGCTACACCTCGACCACTGACACACCATAACAAACTTTCAGCTGCTCTTAGATGTCCCTACTTTACTCTAGTTTGTAAAACTTCAAAGTAAGACGTCAATTTCTATAGGACCAGCTAATGTATTTATTCTGCTTCTGTTGTCCAGATTTTGTCATTTCTGATGAGGAGAGACGTTTTCTCACTGAAAAAAAATCTAAATAAGTAATTTTTTCTTAAAATAAATGCATTCGTTCTTAGATTTAGGAGGTAAAGGAGACATTTTACCAATGGAACAAGACAATTTACACTTAAAATAACAAAAACACAATTGCATTGTCTTATTTCAAGTGCATGTTATCTAATTTTCTAATTTTAACAGAAAAAATACTCATTCCACTGGCAAACTACCTCATTTACCTACTCAAATTAAGGGTAAATACACTTAATTAAAGACATTTTTACTTATTTCTAGATCGTTTTTTCAGTGCTACTTCTTAACACCTTAAAGGAGTGTTTTCATATTTTGTCATGTTACAACCTCATGCTTTATGTTTTATTGGGATTCTATGCTAAAGACCAACATAAAGTAATACTTATCACAACAAAACAATAAATAAAAGCATAGCTTTAGCTTTTTGTTTCCCCTTACAAATAAAACCCTGAGAGTTGTATGCATTTAGCTACGGCCTCACTAAGCCAACACCTTGTAGAGATGCCTATGGTTGCAATTCTTGCTGCAAGTCTAGTGGTGTGTATCTCAAACAGCTTTGCACCTCTGGAGAAGGACACATTAATTCATGTGTCTTTGAAAGATATCTGAAGCTCTGTCACATATGATGGAGATAATCTGTGAGCATAAAGCTTGAAATCTGGCCTCTGGTTCTGGATCTGGTGTATAGTCAGGCTCACTGATCTAATTATGACGTACAGTATTTTGCATTTGGCTTTCAAGACTTTTTATCAAGGCTTTTAAATTAAGTGTTAAGTTTCTACCCTCCTGGACCTTTACAGGCACCTTTTTCCACAAGTTTTTGTCCATCCTCCATGGAATTTGGGGAAAAGATCACTTCTTAAAGCATCTTCCACATTTTCTAAAAGCTAGTTTGTGAAGTGAATGACTAACAGTCATCCTGTCAGCAGATTCTCCCCGTCCTCCCCGGCAGATTCTCCCTCTCAGCTGCTTCATTGATTATCGCTCTTCTCGTCCACCTGTCTTTGTTGCCAAGTAGCCATGTGTCATAGGTGCTCCATGAGGCATTCAAAGCTTTGGGTGCTGTCTTATAAAAGACTCTGCTTTGAGCCTCCTTAATGGACCTAAACAAAGATTTTATAGGTTTAAAGACAATTGCATGGGGGAATATAACTATATATTTTTTAAAAATTGTATGCATCGGAGTCTGAATTTGTAAATATAAGTAAATTAAAAGAAAACAAATACATAAATTCAAGATTTGTATTTGCTCCTTGCTGTCAACTTCTACAAATATGTGGCATTTGAGTAAAAGTACAAGTTTAAATCACAAAGTTTATGAGTATGAATCTACAACTCCTATTGAACCAGTTACACTCCTTAGCAGTTGGTGATGAAACTGAAGGTTGTTCACCAACCATCACTAAGCCAGAGGAAGAAGAGGACGAAAACAGAGCGCTTCACCGAATGTTTTACTGCGCATGCACTGAAAACAACATTTAAGCAAAGATAAGGTTCAATCGATGGATCTGCTTTCATCTTCTTCTCATTCAGTGCTGGTTGGCAAAAAATCTTCAGGTGCATCGCCACCAACTGGTAGGGAGTGGAACAGCTTCATTAGGAATTGTAGAGCTGTACATTATGCTATTTGTGATTTGTATTTGAAAATATATAATTCGTTCTGTAAAATTCTGATTCATCTCTTGTAAATTCATGCTTCGTATTCAAAAAATAGTGATTATCTCTTGTAAGTATTTGATTTGTAATAATACATTTGTGATTTTTACTCATAAACTTGTGGTTTCTTCTTGTAAATGTGTGAAAAAAATGTCGGTACCGTAAATTTGCAAAGTTGTAACTTGGAAATTGTAACAGATTAAACATCTGATGTCACATATATATGTAGGAGCTGACAGCAAGGAACAAATACAAATATTAAATGTATTCCCATTTATTGACTTACATTTACAAATTCAGACTTCTTTGTGTAGATTAGTATTAATCATAGTTATCTACCCTGTACAACTGTTTGTTTTCAATTATGTTTCAAGTTATTAAAGTAAAGTAGCGTAATACAAATACATACCACACTTTTCAGATTTGTAAGAACAGTTAAAAAAAATTATCCTTTCCTTTTATAACAGTAATATGTACTTAAAAAAATAACATAAAATCCAGAAAAACAAACAAACAAAAAAAGAAAGAATCAGAGTGTTTTGCGGTTGTAATAAGACAAAATGTGAACATTTTTAAAGGAATAAGGAGGGTTTTGCAGGGTACTGCATAACTTGTATTTATGCTATTTCACCACTGGAGGGAACTCCCTCTCCATAGCTGCTCTTATGAACAGACATACTTTCATATTTTCTTGTCACACAGTGTCCATCTGACCAATTCCAAATGCTTTCCCCATACTAACCCAGATATATTGGTGTTCTACTAAAAAATTACTGAAGTATGTTTTATTTAATTCCATACAACCCTTTTCTTTCAGAATAAGTGACAGTGCTCCCAGGATCTGGTGACACTCACTATATTTTGTCTCCCTGTCTTTCCTGCCCTCCCCAAACCCCCCTTTTCCCCGGCTGTATCCCTGTTCTCTCTCTCTGCTGCATTCCTGCTCTCATGGAATTGCAACAGGAGGACAAAGTGGTTAGCGAATATTTTTCTGTGAAAACACACATTGTGATTTGCTGTGGTTTGACAAAATACACATTCAGCAGCCATAGATGATATTAATCAAACAAAAATGCTCATCTGTGAGTCTCTTTCTGTGTATCTTCTGATGCGTATTAAATAAAGAATATCTCCTCAGAACCTGGAAAGGTTTTGACAAGTATGAGACATAACAGAGATCTAAAGAAACACAACCAGTGCTGAAGACAAAAAGTAGCTGCATCTCAATTATATTGTGGCTCCTTAAGTTGATTCACTGATGCATGAAGTGACTTTTGATACAGAAAGACTTAACTAATTTCATTAAATTACTTACTTAAAACCTTATAACAATTAAATCTTTTAATTTATTCTCTTATTTAATGCTTTTTTGTTTGATTTTTTAGCATAAATGACGCCTGATTGCTGTTTTTAGAGACGTTTAAATACTGTTCTTTGTTTACTTGATGATCATAAATGTCAAACACGAAAAAAAATAAAAAATATTTGTGGACTTAATATTTATAAGTAATTTAGTACCTTTGGTTTAGGGCTAACCCTGATCTCAACATTGGTGGATAAGAATGCTAAACCTGAGGTCAGTGGATTAAATAAGACTTCATTGAATTCCCGTTGGGACCAGCTGCTATTTCTGGATTGGTTTCTGCATTGTTCTGGCATGGATTTTAAAAAATGGCGGCACCCTGCCCCTGCAGTATGGTACTGAATTTCTACAGCTGTCATAGGTTCTGCTTGATTAATCTGCAATATGATTGAAAAAATGGATATTATTAATATGTGTATTCCTAACGTTTTGACCAGTATCACATAAAAGGGACGCTGAGGTAATGAGGGTCTACCTGAAGGTATCATTTTAATACAAATCTCATAATTGCTCTAAAATATAACACCTTAAACATTATTTGCTGTCATAGTTGACTTTGCATACTGTTTTATGTTTTTAAGCAGTGAATATGATACATTTTGTTAAAATACTGTGCAGCCTTGTAACCCTGCATGCGCTGTGGATTGACGCACATACAATTAGGGTTCAGTGAAACATTAGAGCAGCTGAAAGACAGAGACAGAACCCTGTCCAGCTACTCCCCTTAATGCCAGGACCCCAGTTGTATGGGTGCCCATCATTCACTGGATTATAATAGCAGGGAGATCAGTTACTATTCTGTGCAGGTGGTGTTTAGTAATAACAGTGGCAGCAGGCTGACGATGGACATGGTGGGCTATACCAGATAGGTCAGGACAGAAGCCTGAGCTGTTTTAGCTCTACCTCCTGTCACATTGATTACTTCTCTGTGCAGACTTTTTTCCCTCTGATTCTAATGAAGCCAGAATGGAAATTAAGTATTGTTGTATTTCGGGACAAAACAATTAATTAAATGAACTATGATTAATTGATTATTAAAATAATAAGCAACTAATTTGGTTATTAATTGATTCATTTCCTGGAGTAATGGCACATAGACTCTACAAGTTCCTATTTGCTGAAAGAGTAACCTACTTGAGGCAGTAATTAAAACAGAACTCTATAAATAAAACTACAACCATTTTTTAAACATAAACTACATATAACCTTTTAATGAAGGATTAAATTGAATCTTTTTACTATAAAGAAAAATATTTACTTACATATGTATTTATATTTTAGGCAAATTATTTAATACACACAATAGAGATTTTGTTTTTTTCAAATATTTGTTTATTTAGATACGTTAATATATTAAAAGGACCCTTTTAAATTAATCTTTTTATCAAAGGTCTTTTCATTAACCAAAACATCACGGTACTGTACAGTGTAAAGGCTCTAATTCAGATGCTCATAAAGACAGGAACAAAGCCGTCCTTCAATCACCTAAAGAACATCTCCTGGATTAAAGGAGAAATGTCTCAGCAGGACTTGGAAAAATAATTCATGCAGTGTTCATCTTTAGTAGAATAGATCATTGCTGCTTTGTCTTTATAGGTCGCCCTAAAAAGTGGATCAAACATCTGCAGATGATGCAGAACGCTGCAGCTTTCGTCCTCACTGGAACTAAGAAAGTGGAGAACATCAGTCCAGTTCTAAAGTCCTGGATCCTTGTTTCTCACAAAACAGACCGTAAAATACCTATTTAATACTTTTAGTCTTTCAATCAGTCAATGGCTTAAGGCGGGCATACACTATAATTTTTTTCCCTTTTCGGGCTGATTCTCCAGTCGTGCGAGAATTTTTTGATCGGGCCGACTTTCAGCCTGATTGTGCGTCGTGTAGTATACACTGGGTAACGAGGGGCGATCAGCCTCTCACAACCACCTCCCGATAAGGTATCGTGAGGTTGGGAGAAAATCAAACATGTTCTAAATTCAGTCGGCCATCAAGTGCGCATTTACAAACAAGGATTCTTCTCCTTCTTCCTGTCAGATGTAAACACAGAAGCATGGCGGGGATGCGAGTGAAATGGTCTTCTGTCTGTAAAATTGACAGTGCGTAGTAGCCACGTTTGCTCAGCCATGTCTTTGTCCAAACACGTCGTCGCCTTTTCTTTTTAGGGTTTTCAGCACAAAATTGCACAATTTGCCAAGGCATCGCGTTTCACTCTAGTGAGCTTCATATTCCTCTTCTACTGGTTTGGTTTCCGGATAGATGAGTCCGAGTAGCTCCATCTCACTGTGGAGCTGAGTCCGACTTGGTTTTCAGCCGTACAGTGTGAGCAGGTAGATCGCATCAGAGCGTCGGGCTGCACAGTCTGAGAACATACATAGTGAGCTGTGAACTTTTAAACCCTGCGGTTTTCTAATACAGAGTGAGCTGTAGCTGCATGCAACGATTGAAAAAATCGTGCAGTGTATGCCCGGCAGTAGTTCCAAAATATATATTCAGACTTTCTGTCAGTGTATCAACTGCCCAGACCTCTCTGGTCTTCTGGATAGAATCTACTCCGTGGAACCAGACCCCAAGAAGGAGAGCAGTTTACACTTCTATTGCTTCACTAATCTGGAATAAACTCCCAGAAAACTGTAGAAGTTCTGAAACCCTAACTTTCCCTGAGATTTAAAACTTATTTGTTGAATTGCTTTTAACTGTGCTATAGATCATTATTAGATGGGGCGACTATGGCGTCAGATGCATGAGTTTTCCCTGTTGTTGGTTCAAGCTCCCGCTCTGGCTTTCTATGTCATTGTGCCCTTGGGCAAGACACTTCACCCGCATTGTCTACTGATGGTGAACAGAGGGCTCGGTGGATTCTGCGTACGGCAGCCTTGCTTCTGTCAGTGAGCCCAAGGGCAGCTTCGGCTACAAAGGGAAGTCCTTATAGCTGTGACTGGTGACCCTGAGACCATTTCAGTTTAATTCAGTTTATTCATAAAGCGCCAAATCACAACACAGTGAGCCCCAGGGCAGCTGTGGCTGTTGTAGCTTGCCACCATGACTGTGTGTGTGAATGGGTGAATGACTGAATTTGGTGTAAAGCTCTTTGGTCATGTCTCCTGACTTGAATAAGTGCTATATAAGTACAGGCCATTTTACATTACTTATTACGTTTTTAGTTGAAGTTTTCCTTCATATTTTCTATCATTTGATCTTTTACCTTATAATGATACCATACTAATCATACATTTTTATTTTATTTGATTATTTGGGTTGCTTGTAGGCCACTGTACCCTACTTTTCCCCCCATATACAGCGCTTTTGCCTTGCCTTAAGAAAAGCACAGATAACAAATGCAACTTACAAGTTCATGGCTGCTGCAAACAGATAAATAAATCTAAAGGGAGTTTGGTAACAACTGTTAGTTGTTAGTATTCAGCTATGAAGGAGTGTGACTCCTGACTGCAGACATATAGATGACAGGGTCAGCTTCAGGCACAAGTATCCAGTTAAATGGACAAAGCAAAAAAAAAAGAAAAATCAAACATTTTTGATTTATTTAATGTGAACTTAACATTTTTCATACAGACAAAAATACAATGCAGATGTAGGATAGCCTCGTAATATGACTCACCAATACCATTAATACATGAGCGCTGCTGCTATGTGAACTGTGTCTTCTATTGTGTGACTATGTTTGTTTCTTCTGATGGACTGATGCGCCGTTTACCAACAAAAGGAACACATTTTTCTGTGTCCAGCAATCTTATCTAAAAGCTTGTGTGTCAGTGAAATAGGTGGTGGTGGTGAAATCCTTTCTTTTTCCATTCGTCTACTCTTTCCCTCTCTCACAGATGGTGACAGCAGTGGCGAGAGAGATCTTGTTCTGTGAAACGCTATTGAATATTCACAAGTCTTTGTGTTGCAGGCAGCTAGCCGAGCTATGCATGGCACGCTGGCATGTGATATAGTGTAAAGGAACTAAGAGTGGAATTGGTGGTAAGGAATTTAAATTTGACAAGATGAGAATTAGGTTCTGTTCATTTAATTTAACTAAAATTTAATCAAGATAAATTCTGAATTGCAGACTTGTGACTCAAGTAAACTAATGTATGCACAGATTTAGTTGTATCTGAATATTGCAGTTGAGGTAGATGATAAACTGCCTCTCAAGAGTATTCATAGAGTTAATTTATTTTATGATAAAAATACAAAAAGGGAACATATTCAAGGTTTTTTAACCTCCTTTATACCTTCCAAGATTTCAAGTTTTTAAAATGTAGCCTCTCTTTGAAAATATACAAAATTCTCTATAGAAATAAACACTCAAGAGAAACAAATTGTGCAGACAGCCTTTTAAACACTATTTGAAATTTAGTCTTGCCTGAAATGTTATGCATCTTATATTTAAAGAGACTAGTGATTCCAACCCATACAGATTAACACTTTATGAAGTTTTTCACATGGAAGGGGAAACAGAAAGGGTCAGGCAACTGTACTATATTCTTTATAATTCATAAAATTGTGAATTCTAATATAACCAACACATTTATTATTAAGTCTCTCCAAAAATAAACTAGGTTGAAGAAGTAGGCGAGACTGGTGACCTTGAACAATTTCATATATTACC